CCATATAAACACATAATCAGGTAAACATGAATAATGGATAGCATAAACAGTAATCATTAGTGAGCATCTTCATCATTAATATCATCTGTGTTCATCATCTATTCCGTAAATGTTCCAAGACCGCTCGTGACCGTAAGCACGACTGATATACTAGTTTTACACTCTACAGAGGTTGTACACTTTCACTGTGAGTCGTGATTTACACTTTCACCCTAGGTGATCCGCCTCTTGACCCACTACCAAGGAAGGTCGATAGGGTTCACTATGAAGCCTTTCAAAGGTTCGCCTAACAAGTTAGGGCCATTAGATTCACTTCAGCAAACAGATGTAGAGCCCCCCTTCCCGATGGCACAATGACAATGGTAAGCAATTGATCCCCCTTGTCTTTCTCTCCTCTCTTCTCTCTATCCCCCGGCCTTTCTCCATACTTCTCTCCCCAATATTTGTAATACTTCACTAACATTTTCTGGCCCATTTCCTTACATAATGTATCTTCACTGTGACACCATTGTCTCAGCAGAACCAAAACATCAGCAATCTCATGAAAGTATGTGTGAGATGTTGGGCGACTTGTGGCAGAGACACGGAGGGTCAGCTCATAGAAGTATTTAAGAAATTGAGCCATTTTCCTTGCCTTTTCCCAATCTGATTTGATTGGAACTCCTGGTGCTTTCTCACTCTCTAACTCTAGACTATAGTATGGGTCTTCATCACTATACCTTTCAAAGGCCTTTTCATACTCTTGTGCAGTTTGTAGCATCAGGTAAGTTGAGTTCCACCTAGTGCAGACGTCTGGGTTGAAAAATGCTTTGGTATGAACCTTTGCTAACTCGTCACATTTCTTGAACTTTACCAACCTAGATGGTGCACTCCTAACATACTTAATAGCAGCCTAAACACGAGCAATTGATCTATCAAATTCTTTCAGCCCATCACCTACTATCAGGTTGATAATATGTGCAAAACACCTCATATGAAGGTACTCTCCTTCAGCAACACAACCTTTTGATTCATTCAGGACCCTCTGCATGTACTTAATTGCAGTGTTGTTTGCACTAGCATTGTCTCATCGCTATTGTAAAAACATTCTCAATTCCCCGATCACCAAGCAATTCTCTATAGATTTTCCAATGTCCTCCCCCTATGGCCCTTAACCAAGAAAAAACCAATATTTTTGTGTGCAAATTTCACTCATTGTCAATAAAATGTGTTTGTAACACACATGTAATTATGACTATTCTTAGTCGTCCATGTGTCTCATTGTCGCTAACTCTTTTCTGATTGTGTCTTTCAAAATTTCCTAAGTTTTTCTCTCTCATCATCAAACACTTTCACACAGGCTCTAGTGATTGTTCTTCTAGATGGCAAAACAAAACGTGCGCATGCTTTTGACATAAACTTTCTAAGACCAGAATGTTCAGATAACACAAAAGGTTGATCATCTTCTATTATCATCTCAGCAAAACTCCTCCTTAACTCCTCAGGATCAAATTTCCAAGTAGATAGAGTACCAACACTACTATTGCAAGGGCTAGGTTGTAGTTGTAAAGTACCTTGATTATCTACTACCGGTTTGTGAGGATTCTTCTTGTAGATTTTCAAATGAGCCTTCATGGAGGACGTACCATTTAACTTTGTGTCACACAGAGAGTTGCTTGCCATGATGATTTTGCACTTGGCTCTCTCCTCCCCATTATCAAGTTTGATCTTGCTGAAGTGTTCCCAAACATCTGATCTTGGAGCCATGGGCTTCCTTTTCTTGCTTTCCTCATCTCCCACTTCCTCTCCATCCTTGGACTACTGCTGCTCATCCCGCTTGTCATTCTCCCCATTTACAACTTCATTCTCATTCACTTGAACATTCAGATGCGCCACTGTTTCTTCAGTGTCCCCCATCTACAAGACATCAAAACAAAAACCAGCCATGTAGGTACTTAGTCAGGGTACAAACTAACTAACTAATCAACTCGCATTGTCACAAAGTAACCAATAGGCATATGGATCTATTAGGCATTAAGCAAGAACAAGAACTAAAGACTTACATTGGAGGACTGCTCTGTTCTTGTGGCCATGGTTGAGGAGCTTGACGACGGTCGACGGTGGCAGCGCCGCTGCTGGCCGCCTGGCGCCCTAGCCTGCTCGGTGCCCCGCCAGCCGCCTGCCGCGCCTCCGAAGGGTTAGGGTTAGGAGCAAGAGTGCGAGGCTCTGCGTGTGACTTGATTCGATGCGGGGAAGTGAAGTGGTGCGGGTGCGGCTGTGCAGGGTGCCATGGTGGACTAGCAGAGACGCAGAGTAGCGGTGGTGGGCTGGTGGGCAGTGGGCCGATGCCTGGTGGGCTGGCACTCAGCTCTCAGCGAGACAGCGACTCAGCGCTCAGCAGCGGTTTCTCGGTACTTTGGTTCGGTATGGAATAAAAACCGAAGCTAAAGCCAAACACCGAACTTCATAGAATTGGAAACCGAAAAACCGAACTACCGACTATTCGGTTCGGTTTCGATTCGGTTCGGTTCGTTGTTCGGTTTTTGGTGAAAAATCACCCAGGGTGACCTGTGATTAGATCAGATCCGAATACAAATAGTTCAAGAAATAAAAATCACTAACAACGTTGTTATATTTGTGAGCTGATTAAACAAATCATTGTTGCTCATATTATTGCTTCTTCAACCATTATTGACACAAGCAAAGACATTAGAGTAATTAGTATGATGTTTCAAGATAATTTTATGAATAACTAATATAATATAAATGTATATTAGAGTTGAGCATTACTCAAGTTGGTGATTCAAGTAATAGAAGACATGCCTTACCACTCATATAAAGGTATTGTGAGTCAATGTTTGTATGATGCTACTCACGGTGAGGCTAAGCTGCATTGGGACAATCTACTAATTTATATTGAACCACAGAACTTTATATATCCTTAGAGATAGCATTAGAGCTCATGCCAGTTATCTAGTAGAAAGAAAAGGGGCTGTAACAATTCAGTAAACACATGCAACCACTGTAACAAGCTTATGACTATCATTACTATACCTTTTTAACAAAGAGGCTAATGAACAAATGTTGAGATCTCTGAGATTTGGGATTCCTAAACCCCAAACTCTTTGGCCATAGAAACAATTTCCCGGTTGGCCAAATGGTATTTATGTGCATCCTCCATGTCATTCCATAAACAGTTACCCATTTGTGTGTTAAGAACTTTAATGACCCACTTAGGAAACTTAATAAAGGAAAGAAGATAGACTGGTGTACTAGCTAAAAAAGACTTAATTAATAAAGCTCTAGCAGCAAAGGATAGAAGCTTCCCCCTCCACCCTGCTATTCTCTTCAAAATCTTATCCACCAAAGGCTGTATATCCTCTCTATTGTGTTTTAAAAAGTGTAGAGAGACTCCTAAATACTTAATATAGGGAAGTTACCCATTGGGCAACTAAAGATGTGAGAAGCAGTATGAGCCACATCAGCATCTAAGTTCATGGGGATCAACTCACTTTTATGGAAATTGACTCTCATCCCAAGTACACCAGTCTATGTTTTAGACTAACATAATAACATGTTTTAGACTAACTAAATGATTAGTTTCAGCACTAGAGAATAGTATAGTGTCGTCTGCATACTAGAGAATCTAATACTTCAAACAAAAAATCCCAACTTACCTTATCATAGGCTTTTTTATAGTCCAATTTCAAAATAACACCCTCATCCTTTTTCTTGTGTAAACTATAAACTATCTCATGAGCAACAACTATGCTTTCTAAAATATATCTTCCTTTTATAAAGGCACTCTGATTAGCAGTCACTAATCTTTGTGCTATCCTACTAAGCCTAAGTGTGAGAATTTTGGTGAAGATCTTAAAACTGCAATTGATAAGACTTATAGATCTTAATAAATTCAGTAAACACATGCAACCACTGTAACAAGCTACAATCTACTAATTTATATTGAACCATAGAACTTTATATATCCTCAGAGGTAGCATTAGAGCTCATGCCAGTTAGCTTGTAGAAAGAAAAGGGTCTGTTCCTGCATACCTTGGTCAAGTAAAATTTGCAAATGACCAAATGTGTGGATGGTGCGTAGAGAGAGAGAGAGAGAGAAGAAGAAGAAGGTACTCAGTCCTACCTTAGATGCAAACCAGATCTGGCAGAAGCAAGTCGAGGTCGGAGATGGGGAGGAGGCGGCGGGTCGACCGGCCAGGGGCTCTAAAACCCTAGCCACCGTGGAGATGGGGCGCTCGGCGTCATGGCGGTCCAGGGATGTCGAGCTGTGGCTCGGGGGTGCGGAGAGGGGGTGCCGGCGTCGGGAGAGGTCCGGGCGGCAGCGGCGACGGGGCGCCGGGGAAAAAGTTGGGCAGCCTGACGGTGTCGGGAGGAAGAAGAGAGCGCCCAACACTTGTTCACCCGATAGCCCCTTCTTATATACCCAGAACGATTTGTAGGGGCGGTTCCTGATCTAGCCGTCCCTAAAAATATTTTCCATTTTATTAAATTATTATTTCTGTATTTTTTATATCAAAAAACACAAACTAATTGTATATAATATTTTGTATTATTCTATATATGCACAAATATATATATAAATAATTTGTTGATATTCAAAACAATATAGAAAACAAAAAAAAAATCAAAAATTAAAAATTTGAATTTTAAAACTTTGACTACAATTTTAGGACATTAAATGACCTAAAATGAAAATGTTGTAAATATAAAAGTTGTACAACTCACCAAGATGTACAACTTTTATTTTGGTCATCTTATCATGTGATGAACTTTGAACGATTCAAAATTTGAATTTCCTAAAATGACAACTTCAAACAAGATTTTGAAACACTAAATGATTTCAGCTGAAAAACTCTTGAATACCAAAGTTGTAGAACTCATCAAGATGTACAACTTATATTTCTTTGATTTTGCATCTGGTTTAGTACATCCATATGAGCAAAGTTAATTTTATACATACCTAAGTAACTCTAGCTTATTCATAGAATGGTAGGAACAAAATGGATGTAGCCAGTTCCGTGGAGTGCTACATCAAGGAACACAATGTCCCTAGTGAGGTTGCCCTAGCAAGGATAAGCTCCTTTGTTGAAGATGCATGGAAGACCATAAATCAAGCACCCTTCAAGTATCCTACTCTTTTTCCAGTTGTGCAACGAGTTACTAGCCTAGCAAAGAGCATGACACTGTTGTTCCTCGACAAGCGGGACGCATACACATACAGCAAGGACTTCAAAAAGACATTGGAGAGCCATTTCGTCAAGCATATTCCTCTCTAATATCAATGAATAATGCGTCATGGATCAAGTAAGCTTCATATGGATTAATGATAAGACATTAGATCCAATTGTCCATTTAATCTAACAGCTCATGTAATCATCGAATAGTTGTGACCATTCGAGGTGTCTATTCACCATGTGTATTTTGTTAGATTGAGGAATAAAATTTGTTGGCCACCAACATCCACCAGTGAATCAGTATAGCCGTTCGATACAAACTTGCAGCACTTAAACCGCATTTCGCCACAAGGCAATTAAAAGGTTATGTCTCGAAATAAGGACTCAAGACTTAGGCTTTTATCCACATCATATTTCTCCATCCAAACTTGCTAAAAATCCATCATTAAGGTTTCTAGCTTGCAGCAGCCACTACTACAGAAAAGATTAGTAGGGGCGGCTGGTGAGGCTTTCTAGAGGCGGCTCGGCCAGCCGCCCCTACCAAACCATCTCTATAAATTATGCATTTGTAGGGACGATTCCCAGACCGTCCTTACAGATAACACCGGCCGCCCCCCTTATAAATCAATTTGTAGGGGTGACTGGTGTTACCAGCCGCCTCTACAAAAATCGATTTGTAGGGGCGGTTCAGTCTAGAACCGCCTCTACAGTATATTTTTTCGCCAAAAAAAATCAAATTTATAATTCAAATTCGACCAGAACATATATATATATAATTTAAATCTGACCAGAACATATATAATTCAAATCTGACTACAAGCACAAGAGCATTATATAAACTAACATTACAAGTCCAATTCATAAGAATATATACAATCCATCATTAAATAGACATAATTCACAAGTCTAATTCGTTCCACAAGTCCAAACCGTCCCACAAGGTAAGACCAAGGTCAAATTCCATATACATTGTTATCAACGACCTAGAGCTAGCCTTTCAGTCTCACGAAGGTGTTGGTACCGAGGATTTCTACCTAAGTCAGAATCTCGGTCATGGTAGGTGCCTTTGACGTGTACAATCTGGTCCAATATGAAGTTGCAAAGGTCACCGATGAGCTCTAAGAGTTGGTCAACCTTGTATGGGTCTCTTTTCATTTCTTTCTCTTCTTTCCACTACAAGAGAACAAGTTTCAGTTTAGTATTTCATATCATGTGCGGAGTTTTTATACTACGGGTGAATAGGTTCAAACTTACCCTTAAGGGGTGTCTCCTGTGGGCACCGGTGTTACTCATCATAGAACATACATAGTATCCACAATGTACACTCCTAGGCTTCTGCTTGGGGCACTGTGTGTTTTACATATGGAAATGTTAAGTAATGCTTTTGACAGCCATGTAATGGAGTACTAAAGTAAGTTACACTTACTGCACATAGTGTTTTTATAGCCAGCCTTCCATTCCTTACTGGATCATGCCTTCCGTGATGTTCATTGACATTGAACCTGAATGCCCTGTTCGAATTATTTTAGCAAATGCAGCTTATTAGTATCCAAAAGTAAACGTTACAAGTATACATACAAACATATAAGCTAATGAGGATTGTTGATATGTATACGTCTTGAGAATCGATATGAAGTCTTTGTATGTCATCGGGTCCCTATCTATTGAATCAAAGACCCATACCATGCTCCTCCCGACATCGACGTCTATACAAATCCAGTGGTTGCTGCATGAATTTAATCATAGAACTAGATAAGCTCTTTTGCATCAAATAAAATATATCGAACAAAACTTTAAGTATAGAGTTGAACTTACTTAAAGTTGTATGGTAGCCATATAGTAGAGTGCTGTTGGAGATTTTTAAAAGCCAGAGCAATATATGCCAAAACCTTAAGGGACTCTTGCCTTAGTTTCTTCGCACGGATATCCTCTTTCTCCCAAAGGGTCTTTCCAGCAGCTAGCTCTTTGGCATCCAGTTTCCACTATCTAGGGTAATTAAAATTTGTTTTTTTATACCTTGACATTTGAATGTGCACTTGCATTCTAGAATGTGCACTTGCATTCTACAAATCACGGCGTGGGTTAGTTACGACAAAATCCAAAGATTACATTCATATCATATCGGGAGGGCAAGGACTTATAGGCACCACGTGCGAATTAGATTCATTTCCATTGCTCCGAGGTGAAAGCATGTCTGCATGTCATTGAAGTCAGAGATAATTTTCTCGGCTGGGCTTCCAAATGTGTCGGCGGGGAAGCATGCTTGTACGAGGTCTATGCTCGTTAGGAGAACACGCAAGTACCAATCATGGAACCTTCTCATTCCAAGTGGTAGGCGCTGGATGTTCTGGTTTGGTAGGAAGGGCTTGCCTCTTTCATATGTTTTCGGGCAATCATTTGACCATTTGATGGCATCAACATTTGGATACTTATTTGCTGTTTGGTGGCCTTTGCTAGTGACGGACTCCTCAAAAGCCCATGTTGGGACTTTTTTAACTTGGTTCTCAGGCTTGAACTAGCCATGGGCATACCACTTGTGCACCGTTGAGACATCTTTCATCGAAACATAAATTGGTCTTACGGTGATTGGATGCTTCTTTTGAAGTTCCCATTCAGGCACGTCCTCATCTTCTTGTGCATCACCTTCTTCAGGATGCACTCGTTGTTCATGTATCGGCTGCGCTTGTTGAGAAGATTGTGGCATCTCATCATGCACTTGCTCGGTATGAGCTGGAGAAGGTTGTGGCTTATCAGACACATGCTCGCTAGGAGGCGGGGAAAATGTGGCATCTCAGGAATGTGGTGGTCATGAGACGGTGAAAATATCTACCCATCCTCAACAACTCGCTCCAAATTTGAGAGAGGGGGAGGCGGCGAAGAAGCAGTCAATATAATGTCTCATTTGTGCCAGAGGATGAATTGCCCCATTACGTCTTCGAGTAACACCAGCCCCTCGGGAGTTGCATAGTCTATCCTCCACTGCATGAACTCGGGTTTCACGGTATGCACCTTGACCCTAGTGTAGTCCGGTGATATCTTATTTTTGTGGTGTAAGCCACTAGGAGGATGTGCCACACCCGTTGCCACCTCCATCACAATGTTCTACCGGCCGCTGAGAAACACCAAGGTGCAACTAGTTGGTTCTCGTATGTGATCGACGGGGGTTGTAGCTGCAGTGGAACCTTGGCTGCTAGGAACTTTCGGAGGGCTGCCAACTAATGCTAGTTCTCCCGATGGCATCATTAATGTCCGTGGCTCCATAGACAGTCCTTGCTCCTCTAGCGCCTTCACTTAGAGCTCAAGATTAGCCTCCCGGTCTATGCCATGTTTCTTGTACATGTGCTTGTCCTCTTCGAATCCGTGCTTCTAGGTCATCATTTTCCCTAGCCCCCTGGTGCGGCCTATGTGCTCATTGTTCCCCAAGCCAAGGCTAAGCTCGTCCCTCTCTCTAGAAGGATTGAATGAGCCCTTCTCCTTGTCTTCAGCATATTTCAGTATCCTTGATACTACCTCTTGGGTCTCTGGCTTATCAAACTTAAGATTATCGCCGGACGATTCTGTACTCCTTGCATATATCCAATTCCTTGAGTGTACCTTCAAATTCTTCACATCGATATTCCCAGAAGCTACGACCTCTTCGTTCATCTTCCTAAACTGCTCTTCCTTGGCATAGTAGCCACCGGGGCCTAGATGATGGTGGTGTTTGTTCCTCTTCGCCAGCTCGGTGTTATGGGCACTGAGCTCCAATGCCTCCGGTGAAGTCTTCTGAGCCACAAGCTCCTCCCATTGACTAGGAGTTATGTTGCCGAACTCGTTGAAGGGAGTTAACCCCTTTTGGATATAGTTCTTGTTGAGCTTCGACCTCCAACGTCGGAATGACTCTCCCATGATCTTCAAAGCATTTTTTTACCAGTTCGTGCTTACCCTACGGAAATCTAAAATTGAGCTTCAGCTGCTTATCCCATAGTTCATCCTTTTTCTTCTCTGGTACCTCTTTCCAGTTAGAGATTGCTGGGTTCAATTTATCTCTTACTAGGGCACCGATCGCATTATGGAATCGTCCTCTGAATTCCTTCGGCTCAATGATCTCCCCTGCTGGCCCGACCTTCGTTATCACATAACATGCCTTATCTGGATATTGGTTTGCTTTTCTATCCCCTCGTTTCCTCTTTGGCTTGGTAGTCATGTTCGTGGCTATGTCTTGAGGTTATGGAGCAGAGGCCTCAATATCCGTCTCTATGGCTGTTGCCTCTGCTCTCCTTTCCTCTACTCTGTCTTGTCCGGCGAGATGTCATGGACGTCGACGTTGTCTTTTCTAAGTTTCAGGAGGGACCTGTATATACAATAGGTCAAAGTGTTAGCAGAGGTAACACAACCAAAGCTTTATCAAAATTTAAAAGCTAAGGCTTTATCCCTTCCTCCTCATTCGGGTCAAAATCCTTGACCAAATCTTCCTCTGTTGGCCCCCTTTTGGCTTCACATGGGAAAGGATCCTCGGGACTTACATACCCCTCTTCCGAGTCCTCCTCATCATCCTCTTCTTCTTCGCCTTTAGTAGCTTCTCCTGCTCTTCCTTCTGCTCCCCCTTCCTCCTCGTCACACTGCTCCTGAGTAAGCATCACTTCTAGATCCTTTTCTAACTCGTTATCTAACTGCTCCTGAGTAAGCTGGTCCTCTAGTACTTGCTCCTCATAGGTTGGCTGCTCATCATGCTCGGGGCATCGGGTTGCACTATCTGATGTCCACGACATTATTTCACGCTTTGTTCTAATAGATGCAAGAAAGTGTGCTTTAGGTACGCGAGAAGGTATATGAAATCAAAAAGGTCTATAAACCAAAGTAGTCCTATAAAACAACAATATATCAAAAAAATGAGTAGTAGCTGTAGTAGAGGCCTTAGAAACATGTCAATCCTCATTTGATCATGAACTTAGAGCATCAAGGCATCATAACAGAGAAGAGAGGAGAAGGTAACGTAGGGGCGGCTGCTAATGATGCCAAGTTCCTCACAAGTTCTTGATCATCAGCTCATATTCCATATAATGTATGGACTTGGATAATTTCATCATCGGCAAAACAAAGGAGAGGGGAGATTTGGCAAA